TGGCGGCGGCAGCGGTGGCGGTTGCGGCGGCGGGGGCGGGGGTGGGGAGGGGTGGGGGTGGCGCGGGGCACAGCCTGGGGTCTAGTATTGAATTTGTGGAACTCGCTGAATACCTGAATTCTTTTCATACTATCCCCGGACATGTAGGCCAGTGTGAAGCAGGGGCAGGGGTCCAGTATTGAATTTGTGGAATTCGCCAGGTACCTGACAGTTTTCCATACTATTTTCGGACATGTAGGTATTTCTTATTAAGGATTAAACGGAGTAAGAGGACCTGTGGTATTTCGTATTAAGAATTAGAAGGTCCCTGGTACTTCTTACTAAAGATCAGAGCGAATTAGAGGGCCTGTGCTATTTCTTTCTATTTCTTACTAAGAATTGGAAGACTTGTGGTATTTCTTATTATGAGGAATTGAAGGGCCTGTGGTATTTCCTATTCAGAATAAGAATTCAATCTGTGAATATGGGTGGAAGGCTCTCACGTTCTATGCATGATAATTATCCAAAGGTCGCCGCGGAAATGACCAGGGCAGGATTCGAGCCCAGGCCTTTGCACATCAGAAGCCCATCCTACCCGGGCGGGTCAGGATCCCGACATATTAGCTGGCCATGGGAAGACTCATATCAAATCAGGGGCTTTCAATTTTTGGGTTGCTGTTAACGAACTTATTTTAAGTTACCATATTGGGGATCTATAATGATTAAAATGGTTCCCAAACTATTGTAGCCTAAGTTCCCTAACGGCAACCCGGAATGTTGATCCGCATAGGGGAAAATGAGTTAGTATAAGATTTCGACATATTTCCCAGATGGAGGCCCGAGATCCATACTAAACCTAGCCTTCAAAGCCAGGTCCCACAATCTGACAATACGAGCATGGATAGTATCAGTTTCAGAGGAGGACGTGGAAAAGTAGCACAATCACTATTATTCCCGCGCATGGCATGGATAGTATCATTCCTCGAGGATTGTGGGAAAGTGGTAAAAAATCATTACCATTCCCGCGCACGGCTCCAGAACCCCGGAAGCATACCTCTGAATTCTGCAAGGATCTGAGCTAAGGGACCTTTGAGAATTTGAGTAGTATACGGGATGTGAGAAAATGAACTTCTCGGGTTTTTTGGGGTTTCTCGGCCGCTTAAGAACTAGTATCAAATTTCGACATATTTCCCAGACAGAGGCCTGAATCCATACTACACCTAGCCTTCAAAGCCAGATCACAATCCGACAATCCGTCTAATCCGTAATCCCGGGATTCCGTAAACCTTCTATCCCGCAATCCGCGCAAGGATTGCAGATTAGTTTAGAACAGGCCAGTTTATCACTTGATGGTGATGTCTCCAATCAAATTGGACCAAAAGGTTATACTGACACGTCCGTAATATTGTTGCACCCAAGCACATGTTTGACATGCATGAATGTTGCAAGAGACAACTTCACGTCCCCAACTTTTAGCAAGTACACTACTGGGCGGCTTCAATGATATCGCCAGCACATACGGACCAACTTTAATAGAAAAGCGAGTATGGGTGCCACAGCCCCCCTTCTCACGTCCAAACGCGCGAAAGGACATGCACTGCGCACTAGATTGTTGCAAACACCAGCCAACATCCCCATTCCTCCTGCACAGACAGACCGTACCCCGGGTAGGGGGGAATTGTTCCAATGGGAGTTCGAGTTCGAGCTCCGACAGGTCTGAGAGGGGGCTGGAGTTCGAGTTTGAGTTGGAAAGGATAATTTTTTCCCGGGGGGAGGGGCGAGATATAGGTACTGTCCTGTTGAATAGCTGTCAGTCCATGTACAGTTCATGTGACACAACTGTGTGCTTGATATTGCCGCTCCCACTCTAAGGAGTTAATACTCCAGTAGTGCGTAGTGGAAAAAAGACGCCCGCTCGCCTGTCTGTACACTGTTGTGAAAGTAATTCATGCTCGGGCCAATCTCAATGTGGTCGCGGAACTCTTCTCCAGGGGGGGCTCTGTCCACGCGGAGGTATCCCTAGGGTGCCCCACGCGCAGGGGGCTCGAGAGGAGAAGGGTTCCCGTAGATGTAGAGCAGACATGGCAGAAGATTTCTACACAAACATGCATGATGAAGACCTCTATGATGAGGCGTATACCACGCAAGCAAAACTCCTTGAGCGTCCAGCACGTACGCCACATGTGCCGGCGAAGAAGTCTCGCGCGGCTAAAGCCAAGACGCGCGGCCAGGTAATCAATTTGCCAGGCCAGCGATTGGAAATTCACCCTCCGCAACAGGAAGACCTGGCCAATCTTTGCCTGAAGAGGCCGCGTCAAGGTGCGGCATTTCATCGTCACCGTCTTGCGGAACCGAAACTTATCCGCTCTAGCCGGCTGCTGCTCACGCTCCTTAGCCGGAGACTGCGGGGGAACAGGCCGCGCCTGATTCAGACACAGACTCTGACGCCACCATCGATTACGAGAATCAGGGCTTTCCGTCCAAGGATGCATTTTTCGCTGTGCCCAAAGGTCAATCTTTTCCTGACATTCCTCTTCCAGGTGATGAATCTTTTGAAGATTTCATGAATCGGGTAAAGTTAAGGCCGGGGTTATTACCCAAGAAATGCAACGTAAGTACGCCAAGCAAATGCGCCGTGCTAAGCCGGAAGGGTTTAAGAGCTATTTGGACAATGGCGCCATCCGTTTTCTGGATAAACGTACTTTCAAGTTTGGACCTGGTGGCGCTAATTACCTTATGGGCCGTTGGGTTCTTGCTGTCAAGGTTGGACGGGAAGTTCTCCAAATTTACGGCTAGAGGGGTAAGCATGGCTGGGAGCAGCAAACTGATTCTCCCACTGCTACACGGTATGGTCTCCGTCTTGTCTGTCTGCCAGCAGGCCGCCAGTTCTTTGTGGGATTTGTTGCATTTGGACCTTAAAACTACGTTCCTTCAAAGGAAGCATTGCAATTTATTGCGATGGGCTGTCATAATTCAACTTCCTGGCAACTTAGGTTACTGTGTGAGACCAAGACCGTGGCGCAACCGTCTCGATAAGTTCAGTAGAGCCTGTGGCTTGGTCCCTACTAGGGCAGGCAGGTCCAGCCATGTCTGCTATGAAGGAGCCCGACACTGCGGCTGACATTGCAGGCTCTTCCCACGAAGAGGAAGCCGACTTTCGTCACTTCCTTTTGTCCTGCTGCGCGAAGGATCCATCAGTTGCCTCCGACACTACGGAGATAAGGTCCTTGGAAGATTATCCCGATGTGGCCCATGCCTTGACCACAAGGAAGGTTATATATAGAGTACGCATGGAGACCCGTTGTAGATGAGGCCCTCCTACAGTTCTTAGACTCTACTGCAATTCACAACAAAGGATTCGGATGCTATCCTTTTCTAAATGGTCAGGCTCAGGGGTTCCTTTTGCCGGGTTCCTGGGCACCTTGTCTCCGCTCGCGCTTAACCAAGAGACTGGCAAGCAACCTTCGGACTCATGTCGAAAAGAGTCGCAAGGTCCTGGTCTCTGCGAAGCGCTCCTCACCCGAGCCCATCGCACCGCGGCTGTGCCTCCCATAGCTCGGTCTCGTAGTCCGCACGTTGTAGGCTCGTGCTCCCAACGCACTCTCAGCGCCACATGCGTCGCAGAGGCCTCCTATGCCGCGCACTTTTCCTACTCTGCACAGCCTTCCAAGCCCGACTGAGTCGGAGGATGAGTGTAGTCAGCCTCAGCGGTATCAGCCAGCGTGGGCAAGTATGTGAGCAACAAACTGCTAGAACTACTGGCAATAGCAATTTGGCTGCGGATTCGGCGCACAAAATCACCAGGAAAGTGAAGCCTCTCAGAGCACCATGCTGCCTCAAGCCGCTGAGTCAAGTCCACCTAGTTGGAATATTCTAGGTTCGCTGTTGGCTGGACTTAGAGTAATAACTCCCTGTTTTGGGGGAAGTCCTGAACCAATCATCTAGTGTGGTTCAAGAGGTTGATACTCCACCGCAAGATGTGGCTCTTCGCGGGAAGCCAAAGCCAGAGCGTCAGTTGCAGAGGGCCTCGAGCAGGACCTCAATCACAACAGTAGACTCCTCCATTACTCGATGAACGTTCTCTGTTCCTCTTGCTTGGCTCACTGCACGGACGTTTACGTTTACCTGGCTCTATGCGCCAAATGCTGAGCGGAAGCAACTCACTCACAGCTCATGACTGCCACGCGCTGGCAGGAATCCCGGAGCCGCTATGGCATCGTACGCATTCAAGCACATACGTTCAGATCAATGCGCATCACAGACCTTTAGCACTGACATCAATTCTCTCTTGATCTG